CAAAAAATAAATAAATAAATAAGAATACAGTACTCTCACCAGAATAGGGAGGAGGGTAGACAATGTGGCTGCTTTTATATACAATATATCCCTGGTAATGACAGTAATCACAGCTAGGTTATAGCACACATTCACTATACTGTCAAAGGCAGTAACTATACAAACCAAGTTTGTTAGGGATGATATGACAGTCACATTTGGAGAGTTTTAAACATTAAGCCTTGCTAATAACAAGGGTGTGGTGAATGCTATGTGATACATAAAGGAAAAAAGAACATATTTTGCATTCACCTAAAAAGGAAATAAATCAGAATTTGGACAGCTCAGTAACAGTAAAAAAAAAAAAAAAAAATTAGGGATGTGAAGGATAAACAAAGGAGGAGGCTGCAATGCTTGGTAAGAAATGCACGCATTATCCTGCCCATGTAATTGTAACCCCTCTGTACAGTATGTTCACAAATAAAATAAAATAAATTAAAAAAAATTACGTGCTACACATATTAAAATCCATGATTTTCCCAATTCTAAAATTGTATCTCTTCTTATTACCATTAAAGACCTCCTCTTGCTTCTGAAATAGGTCCAATTTCTTTACATTTTAAAATTACTCTCCTATACTTCCTTCCTATTCAAGAGTATGTACTTCCCCCTAATAAGACTTCCAAGTTTTGCCATTATAGGATTCCCAGGCATCCAAGGCTATCCAATCAGTAAAGTATTTTACCTTTTTTTTTTTAAGTTGGTTGTGGGGCTTGAACTCTGGGCTCAAGTGCTGTCCCTCAGCTCTTCAGCTCAAGATTAGTGCTCTATCACTTGAGCCACAGTGCCACTTCTGGTTTTCTTAGTGGTTTATTGGAGATAAGAGTCTCACAGACTTTCCTGCCCCACCTGGCTTTGAACCGGAATCCTCAGATCTAAGCCTCCAGAGTAGCTAGGATTACAGGCGTGAGCGGCCAGGCACCCATCTAGTGAAGTATGTTATCTTTTATCATTTCTCAATGGGAACTCTCAATACCTGGAGTAACTAACACTGAAAAGTATCACATAGGGCTCATGCCTGTAATCCTAGCTACTCAGGAGGCTGAGATCTGAGGATCAAAGTTCAAAGCAGGCCTGGTCAGAAAAGTCCCCCGGAGACTCTAATCTCCAATTAACCACTTAAAAAACTGAAAGTGGTGCTGTGGCTCAAGTGATAAGAGTGCTAGCCTGGAGCACAAAGAGGCTCAGAGTCGGCACCCAGGCCCTGAGTTCAAGCCCCTCAACTGATCAAAAAAAAAAAAAAAGAGGTATCTCACATGGATTTTCCCTTCAGCCCAGTATATACATTGTACCCTGATGGGTTACTGTCTTTCATTCACTTAAGATTAGTCAAATTTTATCCAAATGTCAAAAAACCAACTTTAGGGCTGGGAAGGTGGCTCAGTGGTAGAGTGCTTGCCTGGCATGCATGAAACCCTGGGGTTCAATTCCTCAGCACCACATAAACAGAAAAAGTGGAAAAAAGTGGGAAAATATGGCTCAAGTGGTAGAGCACTAGCCTTGAGCTGAAGCACTTAGGGACAGCGCCCAGGCCCAGTTCAAGCCCCACAACAAAAAACAAACAAACAAAAACCAATTTATCTGTTCAATGAAATCTCAAATTATAAAAACTCTCTACCTTGTACACTAAGCCCTACCTCATTATCTTAACAAATGTCTTCTTTTTTGTGATTATTGGCTTTATAACTATGCTACTTTAACTAGAGTTTAAAGACTTATAAACAGGATTAATAACTTTAATTGTCAAACACAAGACAATTTAAAAACTATCTGTTCAACATATAAAACTGTAACTGTAACTCCCACTCAATCATTCCAACAAAGTCACTGCCAGACTTCAGAAGGAATTCCCAAAGTCAAAAGTTCTCCAATTCTGGGGGTAGGAAGTTGGCTCAGTGATAGAGTGCTTGCCTTGCATGCATGAGGCCCTGGGTTTGAGTCCTCAGCACCACATAAGCAGAAAAAAAGCCAGAAGTAGTGCTGTGGCTCAAGTGGTAGGGCACTAGCCTTGAGCTGAAGAGCTGAGGGACAGCACCCACGCCCAGAGTTCAGCCCCCACAACTGGCAAAAAAAAAAAAAGTTCTCTAATTTTCCATTACTAGGAGTCATTCACTAAACCTAACAACTAAATAACTGCAAACGTTACTGATATTAAGTAATGTAATTCCACAAGCACTTATTGAACACCTATATACAATAAGGGTATATTGGATATTGTATATCCAATAATGAATATTCAATAATGATAAGATATAATTACTCAAAGAATACACTAGCCTGTTATATCAATTAGAAAGGTAGTCATTCCACTAAAATCTCATGTAACACATTTAACATCAGCATGTATTCTTAAAAGAGAGAGATTACAAAACACTGGATCGTTTAGTCTTTATTCTGACAGAGTAAAGTTGAAAAGGTGATTGGAATATGATTACCAATACATAAGGTATTATTCCCTTTTGGTAAGGTAAGGTCTTTCATTAATCTGTGAAAAGTGGTTACATTTCAATAAAATGTTTTCATTCGTTTAAAGTTTGAGTTGGTAGTGAAGAAACTGCCATCCATTGGATGTGGGTTGAACTACAAGAACAAAGTAGGGCTATTATCGAAGCACATTTCAGTCATCAAAGAGCAACAATTTTTAGCCCTATAAAAACGCGAAGACACAAAAGGCTTCTTTAAATAGTTTCACATTCTGAAATAATTGATGAGTACAGTACAGATTTAGGACTAACACTGCCACTTCTCAAAAGTTTGCCTATCTTTTCAAAGGACATCAAAATCCTGACCTGACACTGAAACTTCTTGCTTTGCAGACAGTAACTGAGAATACTTCATCCAGTACCTACAAAATGAGACATACAGTCGTCTATCACTCATATAATGCTTACATACCTGTAGTGTTAGGCTCACCTACCATTCATAGAGTGTTAATGTATCTGTAATATTTGGCTGTTAGAATCACAGGATCATATAGTGTTAATGTATCTGTAATATTTGGCTGTTAGAATCACAGGATCATTACAGTTTAATACACAGTAAGTGCCTCAACTGCACACATCAGAAATCTTATAAAAACACTTAAGTTCAACAACACGAACACACAAGTATGTACCTATACTCAAAAGTGCTAAGAAATCTTGCAAAAGCACGGTGGCTCGGTTCTGTCAGGCAAGCCTGACAGCAGATTCATTCTTAAAGAGCTATCCGTTTCAGAATGGAAAGGGCAATCATGCTTTCTCATGACAGATGAAGAGCCGAACATGGCGTTCATTCAGCAGTGTTTCCCGGCTCCTTCACTGCAGTGCCTTTCCCAGGGTTGCTAACGCGAAGGGTCCTAAGTCCTGCATGCAGCCCGCGTACGACAAAGGAAGCCCGCCAACCTTCACGGGGAGGGCAGGTGATTACTAACAGCACGGTCCTCTGGGGGAAACCGTGCCCAGCCCTGAAGACCCACATCTTCTTCTGCACCAAGTGGTTCACCGGCGCCGGGTCAGTCCTCAGCCCCGACCCACGCCGGCCTCCTTCGCCTACGCGCCCGGGAACGGGGGTCACCGGGGGGGGGGACCCCGTCCCCCAAGCCCAGGCGGGCTACAGAGAAGCCCTGGGGACGCACGAGCCTGGGGGTGGGGGGGCCGCGCCCAGCCAGCCCAGGAGCCCGGGCTGGAGGCCAGGACGAGGCCCGGGACGCCCTTGGAGGTTAATCCCAAAGTACCCGGGGCTGCGGGGCGCTGGAGGGGGCGGCGCGGGGGTGCAATGGGAGGAGGGCACGGTGACCTTTCGGACGGGACTTCCCAGATCGGAGTCGGTCCCTGAAGGATCTCCCAGGGATCCTGCGTGCGTCTAGCCAGAGCCCGTGGGAAGCCGCTACTCACCCCGAGGCAGAAGGAGCGGCGCGACGGGGACACTCGCCCGGCCTTGCACAGGAAGGAAATGCGGCCTGGGAGAAACGCTTCCGGCTGGAGCCGCGGTGTCCCGCCCCCTGCCCCCCCCCCCACTCCAACACCGAGCATGCGCAGCCCGTCCGCCGTGGCCGCCAGGGAGCAGGCGCGTCCGGAGGCTTGGGAAAGGCTGGGTTGGTTGCGGCCGCGCAGGCTCAGTGTACTGGGCCGAGGCTCTCGGCGAGGTGGATGTATCTGCAAGTAGCATTTGTCAAGGCTCGGGAGTGAACTGCTGGGTCTCGGAGGCAGGAAAAGTCCCTGACTTGAGGCGAGGGACGGGGTGCAACGCTGACATTACAGGGAAATCTGCAAAGACATCCCGCTCTTCCCCCGCTTCCCCGGGACTCTCCACCGTGCAGCTGCTGCTGCTGCTGCTGCTGCTGATGATGATGATCCGTCTGTACTCGAGGCGGAGCGCGGGGCGCGGGGACACTGCTGGCCAGTTTGCGTCTGGGTGTCCAGATGAGGTCACCTTCCCCGCATCTCGGCCCCCGCCGACACCTGCGGGGAGGGGCTTCCGTGTCCTTCGGAAAGATGACTTTGCCGCCCACACCCACAGGCTTGGCCACTGGATCCGCTCCCTCTGTTCCATCTAGGGCATCTGGTAACCAGGTTTCGCATTCTGGTGACTGCTCTTTTCCCTTCACTCCTTTCTTTTTCTGGAGTGAGGGATGGGACACAAAAAGTCCCAAGGGAGCAAATCTGAAAGCCTGCCCTGGCGTTCGGAATACACAGGGCTTCTAGGAGGCGAGCTGGCATTGGGCATTGTTCCCAAATGGAAGAAGTAACTTCTTCAGTTAGAGGCCGTGAGACCGGAACGAACAGTTCCGTTCCCTCCTGCATCTCATCCTAGAGAATGCAGTTGGTGTTCCTCCGCTTTAGTGATCATCTCTGAGGACTGAAGAATTTTGCTGCCTGCTTGTTGAATAAGCAAGTGCTACCATTGTTAGAAACTTGTAATACAATGCAGGCAATGTGTTATGTCCCTTACGTAAAACCCTCTACAGGAGCCACTGTTTTAGCATTATTAGTTTTGTAAAGATGACACATTTTTATTAATTTTTTTTGGGGGGGGGATCTGGTCATGGGGCCTGAACTCTGGGCCTGGGTGCTGTCCCTCAGCTCTTCAGCTCAAGGCTAGCTCTCTACCACTTGAGCCACAGTGCCCCTTCTGGCTTTTTTCTTTTTGTTTATGTGGTGTTGAGGAATCAAACCCAGGGCCTCATGCATGCAAGGCAAGCGCTCTACCACTCTGAGTCATTTTCCCAGCCCAAGATGACACATTTTAAAGCTCTTTGACCGTCGTATTTTAATACTGGTTAAATAAAATCTGGTAAAATAAAATCACCAGAGCAAAAGAACTGGTCTTCAGGAGTGGTGGTTGAATACCTGCAATCCCACTTCTTATAGGCTGAAGCATAAAGATCTCAAGTTTGAAGCCAGCCTGCATTACATAAGCAAGTTTAAGGCCAGTGTGGGCCATATAGGATGTAATTAGTCACTCTACTGAGGACAAACTAACTGAATCCTAACAATGTAGTGGAACTCTAATAAAACTGAATCTAACCTCAATTCATCTACCTAATATTTGAGGAATAATTGCACAGTGAACTACTCATAAAATACTCAAGACTTACCATCACTGATATGCTGCAAAAATAAATACTGTTTTCGTTCCCATTCCTGTGATTTACCCATGCCTTTTGGACCTAATATTTTGTTTTGTTTGTTTGTTGCGGTCATGGGGCCTGAACTCTGGGACTGGGCACTGTCCCTCAGCAATTCAGCTCAAAGCTAGTGCTTTGCCACGTGAGCCACAGCACCACTTCCAGCTTCTTCTGTTTATATGGTGCTGAGGAATCAAATTCTAAGGCCTCATGCATGGGAAGCAAGCACTCTACCACTGAGCCACCTTCCCAGCCCCGAGGACCTAATATTTTCATCTAGCAAATTCTTAAATTTCTTATACCTGGGTCCTAAAACAAATTATTGCCTTTCTACCTACAAAGCATTCATTTCTAACAATCACTAAATTAACTAAGGGTGTTTCAGAATAGCAGAGAGTAAACACATGCTTTTCATCCTCAGATAGTTTACATCATCTCTGGCAACACAAAATATAAGAGGGAGCTGGGGGCTGGTGGTTGACACCTGTAATCCTAGTTACTCAGGAGGCTGACATCTGAGGATCATGGCTTAAAGGCCGCACTGGCAGGAAAGTCACTGGGAGACTGTTATCTCCAATTAGCCACCAGAAAACTGGAAGTGGCATTCTTGCTCAAAGTGGTAGAGCACTAGCCTGAACAAAAGGAGTTCAGGGACAGCACCTAGGCACTGAGTTCAAGCCCCATTGACTGACCAGAAAAAAGAAGAAGAAAGAAAAAAGGGAGTTAATTCATTCTGCATAATAGTAATCAGGAAATTAAGACAGATTTTTTTAGTGTTTATGCCTTACCCTCTAATTTTAGAGTTAGGATTTAAAACAAACATTTCATTGGTAGAAAGCTGAAAATTCTTTGTGTGTCTTGATACACATTTCACTTGAAATAATTATGGCAGACCTCTCAATAGTGCCAAAGATTCTGGGTGTCTTTTTTGGGGAGAGGTCAGGGGCTGAGATTGAGATAGACTATTACTAGCTAGTCCAGGATGACCTCAAACTCATGGTCCTCCTGCTTCAGTTTACTAATTGCTACGAGATGCTTGGCCCTCTGTGTTAATGTACAGGAGTGATTAGTTTTCCACTAAGATTGGTTTACTGGATACCTTTGGGAAGAGAGGATTCAAGAGATGAGGTATTTTCAGTTTTCATTGTGTAGATATCTCTTGGACAACTTGGCAAAATTCAAGTTCCTGGATCTCAGCCTTATAGGCTCCAGTCCAACTGCTCTAGGTTTGGCCCAGGAATCTGCATCGTATTTAACATCTGTGATCTCTGACATATGAGGATACAATGTGAAGATGTCTATCTGCAAGCCAGGAAGAGTACCCTCACCAGATATAGAATATACCAGCTTGTCCTGAACTTCTCAGACTCTACAACTGTGAGAAATATATTTGTTATATGCCGGGAGCCGGTGGCTCATGCCTATAATCCTAGCTACTCAGGAGGCTGAGATCTGAGGATCACCGTTCAAAGCCAGACCAGGCAGGAAAGTCCATGAGATTCTTTTTTGGGGTCCGGTCGTGGGGCCTGAACTCTGGGCCTGGGCGCTGTCCCTCAGCTCTTCAGCTCAAGGCTAGTGCTCTACCACTTGAGCCACAGCGCCACTTCCGGCTTTTTTCTTTTTGCTTATGTGGTGCTGAGGAATTGAACCCAGGGCCTCGGGCATGCAAGGCAAGCGCTCTACCACTGAGCCACCTTCCCAGCCCCAATCCATGAGATTCTTATCTCCAATAAACCATTTGAAAACCAGAAGTGGTGTTGTGGCTCAAGCGGTAGAGCGCTCACCTTGAGCTGAAGAGCACATGGACAGCGCCCAAGCCCAGAGTTCAAGCCCCATGACCGACCAAAAATTATATATATATATGATCTTAAAGGCAATTTAGGCTTACGTGCTAGATACTTTTGCAGAAAAATTCCTATAGTCTTTACTCACTAAAAGTGAATTTCTGGTGTAGTCCAAAACTGTATCCAAACCATTTCAATTTTTTTGATTGGCTTACAAAAATTGAAATGTTTTGGATACAGTTTTGGACTACACCAGAAATTCACTTTTAGTGAGTAAAGACTATAGGAATTTTTCTGCAAAAGTATCTAGCACGTAAGCCTAAATTGCCTTTAAGGTCATAAGCCAGCTAGACCAATAAGAAATCTCATGATGTGATTTAGAGTAAATCCCCTTTAGAAAAAAAAATCTGAAATCTTTGGATAAGTAAAAACAATAAGCCTGACTATATTCATTGTTCATTGGAAATAATTCATTTGATAGTGATCTAGAAAGAGAACTTCAACACAGATAAAATTATATAGCAGTAACAATACCGGTACAGTAGTTACTTCATAACCTTGGTTGATGTAAAAATGTCTGATCAGAAATGAATAATCTCAATTATTATTTTGACAAGATAAATTAAATAGAGGGTGGAGAAAGAAAAGTAAATCAAGAATAAGAAACTGTACAGAAAGCCATGAGAGCACTGGGAGAGTCCAAGACTAAATGGTCGAACTTCAGTAGCAAGAATAAGAGGAAATCAAGTCAAACATAATGGAAATTTTCAGGGCTGGGGATGTAGCTTAGTAGTAAGACTGCTTGCCTAGCATGCATGAAGCCCTGGGTTTGATTCCTTTAGTACCACATAAACAGAAAAAGCTGAAAGTGGTGCTGTAGCTCAAGTGGTAGAGCTCTAGCCTTGAACATAGAGAGGCTCAGGGACAGCGCCGAGGCCCATGACCAGCAAAACAACAACAACAACCACAAAACCTATAATGGAAAATTTCAACATTTTGCCAGGCACCTGGCACAGGTACAGGTACAGGCTCATGCCTATAATCTTATTACTTAGAAGTCAGAGAGCAGGAGAATTGTGATTTGAAGCCAACCATGGCAGATGAGTTTGTGAGGCCCCTTCTCAAATGATAGCTGGCATGGTTGTATTCCCTAGTCATCCCAGCTATGAAAGGAAGTCTAAAATACGTAGATCAAGGTCCAAGCTTGTGCCTGGTCAGGAAGCAAGATTGTAAGAAACAAAAACAGCACACAAAAAGGCTGGAGGTGTGGCTCAGTGGTAGAATACTTTCTAGAAACTTTGAGGCTAAGTTCAAATCAGTCAAAAGCCAGAAGAGGGGGGGAGGAGAAAGAGGGGGAGAATTAACAAATTAGAAGAAATGAAAGATAGTAGCTTCATTCTATGAAAAGCCCAGAAAGCTAAACAACATAAACAACAACAGCAAAGTTCAAAGACTATATTATTGTAAATTTGTTTTCCTTTCGTTGTTGTTGTTGATGGTCCCGGGGCTTGAACTCAGGGGCTGAATGTTGTCTCTGAGTTGTTTTACTCAA